GCACGTGAGTGGGTTGGTATTACAAAGTGAAAGTTGCGGTATGATGCCAGTCTTTGGGATCACTGGTATGTTATTGTCTGGAGGAAATTTGGTGCACAGCACGAGTATGGTATCGCAATGGCAAGTTGGGAGTCTGTGCAAGTTTTAACTTCACTGTAATCCTATCGTACTTCCCGTGATATTTTATGCTATCCCTGGCACAGCGGTATAGGCACAGCGGTATAGGGCTGTGTGTGCGGTACGATACTAGACTTCCGGGTTCGTCACCTGATCTCGTAATGTCATCTCTGCTTGTGTTGCCCTAGGGCACGACGTATCTGTGGTACTTGCTATCATAGTCTGGTTATGGGTTTATGATGCAAAATTGGCTAGAATGGGAGGTTTGAGCCCATTGATGGATTGATTAGTTAACCCCCCCCCCCCCCCCCCCCAGCATGGTAAATCTGTTGCTGGGATGGGGGTCAAAGGCATTAACTCCTACCCTTCTCTACCCTACCCTACCCTTCTTCTACTCAAGACTGTTGTGAGCTAGTTAGTAAAGCTCCCGATTGTGTACTTTATCTGCTAGTCTCTTGTCTGATGATGATATTCCTCCTCCAGATATCACTATAAATTCCTGTGGCGCAGTTCGACACACGAAAACCTGCCGCAAAGTAGAGAGAGATAGAGAGAGCATACAGGGGCACATTACGTGTTTGTAGATCCCGTGACACTGTTGATTTTTCCATTATATGTTCCTCGCTAAGAACTCTCTCCCCCCTCAGTATGATACCTTTCCGGAGAAGTATTCCTCAATGCCCAGAAGGAAATCTACCACCTCACCCACCTCCCTTCGAAATTCGCCACCCCGGCTTCCCTCACCCCATGCCCGATCTAGCGCACAATATCTCGCTACGGTACTCGAGGACGGTGGATTCATTATATCAATATGGGTGATCGATGAGGGAGGGAGGAAGCATGCTACAAGATTGGTATGGTAAGATACCGTAACCCTCCTAGTATAGTATATAAGCCCGCAACCGCCATGTTTGAGATGACCGGATGGGTAGTAACTTGGATATGATAGGTAGGTAAGTAGGTAGGTTGGGGGGGGGGGAGGGGGGGTATGTATATTCATCGTTGAATCACCTCCACCACCCACACTCTTCACCAGGCGCTCGCTACAATAGGGCGCCGGATTAAATTAAATAATATTCTATATACGACAGATGCGTCGCGGGTAGAACCCGACATTGGCTACTTATTAACTTAGGCTCGGTGTGGTGGGGTTTATGCGCCTACGTGTATGAACTCTTCGGAAGGCGTACCCCACCACGGCACCGCCTTTATCATACCCCCCCCTCCCAAAGCCAGGGTAAGAAGAAAAAAAGCCCCCACCATAACTCGTTGTCTCAACTAACACTTGACCTCACCGCCCACCATCCCGAGACCATTGGGGAAACTATCAAACCAGGATCGCTCGATGGAAGTATTCGAGCAATTACAAACGCAAGATCTATTTGTTCTATATATAAATGACGAGGGTGGTTGGTGGCCTCCACCCACTGAGCGCCTGCCATAATTACTGGTCACCAAAAGTCTTTCTTTACTCGAGCTATACATGTATACATACCTCGAAACTGTTCTGGAACCCGGACCCGGGGGCGGGTGGAAGTGAAGATGTGAAGAGAATAAAGATTTAAAGTAGCTTGTCCGTACAAAAGGCAGGTGTTGCTAACAGTCTCAAGAATCTGTCGGCCTCTAACTTAGCACCTAAGACCAGACCGTAGCATAGTACTTATTATATACCCATGAGAGGTATCTATATGCAGAAACATGAGTCCCAACATTTCATTTTTAACAGACTTCCGGCATATTGAGGCAATCGTCCCAACACAACCTATTGGCTACATGAATCCAATAATATCGTGAAGGAGAGAAATAGTCTCTGAATGCTGACTTCTATCTAGCCTAGGTCCCCGAGAAGAGAAACTTGTGAGGGGGGTAAATGCCATGCGGATAGGTACTGCTAGTCTACGGCGTTAGTGAGAGAGGGGGGGGGGTGAAGACTTGGTCCACTGGGAATACCATTAGCACCTTACAAGGGACAGTATTCAATTCCAACGGAGGTGCAAGCGCGCAACACAAATTTCATGAACCGAAGGGGTTTTTTCACACATTATACTATACATATACCACACCCAGAACGCCACCGCCAACCAACCCATCACGCTCAAGCAGGTCTCCAAAATTCAGGGGAATAATCATTGAACAAAACCAACCACGAAGTATCACTCGTTTTGTGAAACCCTTCACTGGGGTCCCGAGTGCTGAACACGATGTTGAATCTTTCTGTACTAGTACAAGTATGATACAGTGCCGGTACTCTACTGTACATACCATGCCGCTGCATGGTAGCGCTTTACAGTTCCATGGAGCCCAGCACCGCTGCCCAGCTATATCGTTCCCGAAACTAAGATACTCCAACGACCATCGTTTTCCATCCAATGTATGAATGATATCGCCGGGCCCAACCAGATCGCACCGCAACCCCCACGTGTTTGACCCACCCACCAACACCACCGCCAAACGGAACGAAAGCAAGCTCCCACGTGCGCAGCGTTTTTGCCGTCTCTTTGTCCTGGGGCCCAGCGCCATGGTGCGAGTACTATATGCGGTTACGGTACGGTACCGATGTCCGGAGCTTTTGGAGGGCTCGTGAGTCGTTCAGTGGACAATGGTGGACCTCCTTCGTCTTTCGCTCGGAGTGAGTTCGACATGCGGAGATAAACCTCCAGTATCATCCACGGAAGACGCGCGCGGGGGAGCAGGGAGTTTTTTTCTTTTTTTCTTTTTCGTATGGACGACGTGATATGACAACCCGAAAAATTATCCTGAGGGTAGGTAGCGTAGTTTATCAGGGAGGGGGAATCGTGGGGGTTTTTTTTTTCTTTTCATTTGTGTGGGATGGCAGAGAGATGCCTGCGCCTATGTATCGTACCGTACCGCATAATACCATTCTCGTGGCTTCCTGCCGGGACCCGGTCTCCCATCCATCCATCTGTCGTAGGAGGTGTACGATATGGTATGCTACCAGCAAATCACAAGTTCAATTAAACACCCAACAGTGGAGATTTTTCATTCTAGCGGCTCGACTCACTCGTAGGTGGAATCCCGGCCGGACCTTTGCAAAAGCCCATTTCACCCCCCCCCCTCCCCAATCCTCCCCCGTAGACAGACATTCATTCAACCCTCCTTCCCTCCTTCAGAACCCGTACACCACTTCAAATTTACCCAATACGGAGACATGGGAAAGCCAAACGATAGAAGAGGAGCATGGGTGGGAGCTTTTGGATATCACGACTGGAACTCCGATCCAAATGCATACAAGTACCAATCAATATTCATGGTATCATGCAGTACACAGAACCACCCGCCGCTGCGGAAATAACCAGAGATTTATCATGCTCTTTTTTTCCCATCCCATCTCTTTACTCCCTCCCCCACCTCCCCCACCTCTTCCAAGCCTCGGTGTCACATTACCCCGCGATACTTGATACGTCATCCCAACAGTTTCTTTGAGGTCTGACTCCCTGACTCAACGTGTCCGTTATACGAGTAACTTCCGCCTCCCTTCCAACCTCCCCTTGGGCAGCACGGTATTCTCAAGTACCGGTGCATATGGGGATCAGATAAACAGTGGTGAATGAAATCACACCCTCGGCCGCAAGTCCTGGTTAACCTACCCCAGGAACTCACCGTATCATGCCCACCATGACAAACCCCAGCACAGCCCCTCACTCGCCCGACTCCCCCAACGTTTCCCAACAGTTCCTCAGCCAACATTATTAGCGAACATACATACCTATTTACTTATAAGCGCCACCCACCCGCCACCCAAACAAAATAACAATTCCCATCTCCTGCTTACTGTACCCAAGCAAACGACCTACGATAAACAGGGACGAGGGTTGTATCGATAGTACAGGTGTAAAGGGAAATATAAACCAAAAATAAATAAACGATCGCGGGAAGACTCGAACTCCCAATCTCTGGTGCCGAAAACCAGCGCCTTAACCATTAGGCCACGCGACCCTGTCCGGTAAACGGGCAGAGTTTGGTACTTTGTTCGCTCGCTTCTCGCGGAGAGTTGGAGCTATAGGACACTGGTACTATCATCATACGCTAGTCACCTCACCGAGAGCACCAGGACGTAGAGGCACCATAGCCCTTGCTATATCGTATTCGCGGACATTCTGTTTCCTGCCTTTTTGTGCGGCGAGCCTGGAAAGTCTTCGCGCCATACCCGCAACCATCCTTCATCATCCTCCCGCAGTCTACTCCGGCCCTAAACACCACCAACGATACCCTCAAAAACGCGCATCACCCTTCTACGCTAACAATTAGATTCAATTCCCTCCCATCCAAAGCATCCAAATCATTACAATGGGCCCCAACACGGCAAATGCGTATGTACGGTGTGAGGCCCGATAACTATCCGTACTGTGCTTGTAAACCTAACTACCGGTAACCAAGCCAAGCCACCAAACCATCATAGTTAAACCAACCCGCCTGACCTTATCGAACCCTACCCTGAAACATGAGAAAGTAGGAAAGAAAAAAGAAAAAAGAAAAAAAGAAAAAAAAAAACAAAGCATGACCGCTATATATATCCCGTTTCCCATACACGTTGCAGAGCAAGATAGAAAAGATGAAAATGAAAAAAGAGTGGCCATAAAACTATGAGTACCAACCATTCCTAGACAATCATAACAAGAGAAGGTAAAAGGAAAGACTTGGTGGTCTACATGAAGCGGCTTACGCTAAACCACGCCCGTGAAAAAGAGGTATTTGACAAGATAAAAAGAAAAAAGCTCATCCATCTGGTTGGTTCTTTAGTTTTAAAAGAAAACTCCCATACTCATCCACATGGTTATTATAGTTTCTGTCCCGATAACGGGCAGGAATGGCAATTGAAAAACAAGTATCAAAAAATAAAATAAAGATGAAAAAGTGGAACATCATACAACAGGTGCTACCCCAGGTTCCAGAAACCCGCCCGCCACAGCCACGCCCGATGCCATCACGGCCATGCTCTCCTTGATGCTAGAAGGATCCTCGAATACCGCTCTTACGAACGAAACGATAACTTTCAACGCGTACCAAACTGCTGGGCCGTAGCTCATTGCCATGGCGATGAGGATTAGTATCAACGCGGGGAGCTGTTGGTCGTCGGTCAGTAACTTGTTATCAAGAGTGTATGGCTTTTGCTTACCCAGAAAAAGTACAGACGACGATCGCTCTCAATCTTCTTCATCTTCCTGGCATGCGTGCGATACTCATCTTGTTGCTCCCTTGTCATGTCCCGCACGCCTCTTGCGATGCGGTATCTCAGCTCATTGACGTCGAGTGAAGATGCAGAGCTCGAGGATCCGGAAGATCCGGGGGGCACGAATTCTGCCTCTTCTAGTAACTTTGCGCTATCGACCGCCAAGCCTCTCTCCAAGATAATATCTCCCGGAGGGTTATGGGAACTGCTAGGCTGGTGCGGGAACAGTTCGTCATACGCGGGAGGCGCCTGGGGAGCACTGAAGAGTTCCCACCAGGTGTACTGACCTTTCTTGATCTCTGGATCACCGACCACATCCCTGTCTTGCGCAAATGGCGACGGTGGCATTAGCGCATGGAATCTAGCCATAGGGCTCTGAAGGGCGGCCATGGGATTCTGGAAGATATGCTGGTAATCCGCAGCAGTTGGCATTGCCGGGAGATTCCACTGAAGGTTTTGCAAATTTTGAATGCTCGCAGCAATTTGCTCCCTCCAGGCCGTTACAACAGCCGCTGGAGCAAGCCCTTCAGAAGGGGGGGCCATGACGCCAGGCACAGGCGGAGCTCGGTCTTTCGCGAGAACACTGTCACCAAGCGAAGCGTTGCCCGCTGCGGTCTCATGGCGGCTACCTTTCCTGGAGTGCATCCAACGATCATCCACGCTATCATCGCCATCACCACTACTACTCTCGTCCGTAGCACCAAAGAAATCATCGACCCCAACATACTTTTGGCGTCCAGTCTCCATCCCACTTGGGTCCCACATAGCACTGAGAGATGCCGAACTGCCCGTTCTGCTCCGGCTTCCAAAATGATTCTCGGATGATGTAGAGCTGGCACGGCTCTGGTGTCGGGAGCGAGTATCATGTTGCGACCTCCCCCTCGAAGACCCTTGTTTGAAGGCAAGATCTATCGCAGTATCTCCATTTCTCGTCTGTAAGTTGGGATTTGCATTGTGGCGCAAAAGTCTTCTGTAGATCTCAAGATGGCGATGCAGTGCTGCAAAATGTAAAGGTGTGTACCCGTTAGTATCAGCAGCTTGGACAGACGCTCCCCTCGCTAAGAGGGCAGCAGCAAACCGCCCCATATTAAGCATAGACGCCAAGTGAAGCATGGTTTGGCCCGCCTTGTTCGCCAGATCGAGGCGGAAGGGATAAGGGCTCTCGTCGAGATCCATAGCGTCCAAGAATTTCAGCAGAGTCCCCTCAAGTCCGTGGCGTCCAAAGCCGCTCTCGCCTGCTAGGCGTCGGAGGTATTGTTGATGTTGTTGGGAGCCGCTAGTCCCATCTTGCGGGGCACGTGGGGATCCCTGACTGAATGCGGATCCTGTATCACCCTCAATGATACTCCGTGCAATATCCTGGGGGTTAGACATTGTCCCCCGCATTTTCATCCCAACAATTTGTAGAGCAAGCTCCATCAAAGACTTGTCAGCATCATTAATGTATGTAAAAAATCGAACCTTGTCCGCGCCCGTCCCGAGTTGAACATTTTTGATTGACACAACTACTGGCCCTGGGGAAGCATTGGGAGGCAATAGGCAGACCATAGTTGTTGGGCTAAAGAAGAAGTTGTAACATGCTGGCGTCCCACCAAAAAGGACCATTAACCCTGGTACAAAACTCCGCCCAAGTACAGTCACTTCAATTCCACCCCTACATGTCCCTTCCTGGGGGACCAGTCGACTAATTTCTGGAATCTGGCTGACCTCAGGCTCTGGAGGAACAGCTTGGAAATTATGTGTTTGGGCATGCCTCACTTGACTCTGCGGATGTATAGGAATCCGAGGTGCAGCCTGCTGAGCCCGTAGGAAGGCTTCTTGGGGAGATGGGCTAGGGGCACGGCTGGGGCGGGCAGATTGGGGCGAGGCAAATTGGCTTCTGCTATCGAGTCCATTAAAACCGGTATTCGGGGTCGAATCGAACTGGAATCCCGCATGATCACTCATCCCGGATGGAGTCATAGGTTCCTCAGTCCAAAACGCCTGAGGAGACTGGGCTGACGTGAAAGGATTGAGGGCGGGTGCTTGGAGTTGGGACGGCTGGTTGTTCATGATTAGGGGCCCATTCTGTTGGAATGAAGGGCGTGGGTTGTCCATTCGAGTCATTGTCAAGCCAGCCGGCACCTTAGGAGCAGAGTTTATCCTCCTCTTCTTGCTAGCGGGGTTTCCGTTGGGTAGTAGAGGCGGGGGCGACTGCTGGTGCGATACGGTAGATGCCATAGGGGACGCGGGAGACATATTGCGGCCAAAGGGAGGGGGAGGGGAAAATGAGTTTTGTGAGAAGGGTGGTGATTGAGGTGTCGACCCATGAGCATCAGGGCCCGTGGCATTGAAACTTTGCTGCTTGTCGTGTGATGAAATACCGGGCACGGGGGCGCCAAAAATGTTTGAAGGAAGCTGGTTCTGGGGAGGCTGATACCCGGTTCCTACAAGTTTGATATCCTGGGATCCACCATTTATCGTAGGAGTTGCAGCACTAGACTTATGATCATCTGTAATCAGTATGGAGCTGGTGATTTGCTGTGCAATCACTGCATCTTCATGGTTTTTGACGGTAAAGATAACCCTTCAAAAAGATGTCAATATCTTCTCCAGCTAAACCGCAACGACATATGCGAATCTCACCTAAATCCTTCCTTTTCGCCCTGGTGCCGACAATAGCAGGCAAGCCTCATGTGAAGCTCCATAATCATGCCATCTTCCCACGAGCCCAACACACCACTACCATCCATGCCGCCATTAAGAGATTGCATTCCGGAAGTTGACAACCATTCCCGGACCTCATGGTTATTAAAGACTACAGCCCTTTTCGGTTCGTCCCTCATCCATTCCTCTTCCTCTTTGATCTGCTTGGGCTTCTTCCTTGCAGCCCGTTTCCTCTCCCTTGAAATACACCCCACACATATCTTCACTTCACCACCCATCAAAGGACTCTCCTCGTCTGATGGAGATTTGTCAGGGCCCGATAACGAGTCCTTGTTATCGGAATCCTCCCCACTTGACCCTTCGGCACCCTCAACCCGCTGCGACTCCGTCTTAAATGATCGTGGCCCTTCGCCACGAGCCCGGGCTAAGGCTCTCTGCAACAATTCCGGTTTCCTCATCGCACTAGCACAGACTAGGCTCGCATGTAACTCCAACATGTCGGGTGATTTCCTCACGGGTGGCTTTGCATATAACTTTGGCTTCGAGATGCAATGACGGGGCAGGTGTAGCTTGGTCACCGATCTCGGAAAAGGAGATAGGTGCAACTTGACGAGAATCTGAGTTTCGACCCGAGACTTTGCAGGAATTTGATCGACGCTAAGAGTCAACGGCAGCTGAACTTGTTGTACCTCAAAGGGCTGAGTAGGTTCAAATGAAATTCCGGCTTGCTGGGAAAGCTCGTGATACCCAAAACTCGTAAGACTAAACGATCCTGAAGCTGGACCAGTCACCATCTTTCTCTGTCTTAAACGTTAGCCCTCCGAAAATGCCCGGGAAAAAAAAACCACTTGATGCCCCTATTATCGAGTCGACCAGGCATCAAAGGAACTGCGCAGCACGAATATACCACATACCGCTGGGGGTGAGATGTTGACAAGCCTGGATCCTTCATCCGATGTATCCTGTAAATTATCAAAGTTTCCCCCGGGAAGAGTTCGTTTCCTCCTGTTAACCCTGTTCGGTGAAGGCCGCGCTGGCGTGACCCCGTTACTATTGCTATCAAGTCTAGTGTCACCAGCATAATGCATCCCCGCGCACCAGTTGGAGGACGGTGTGCCTACTGAGAAGGTATGCTGAAAAGGTTGCGGTTGCGGACTGAGACTTCGGCGAAACGGAGAACAAGGTTGGAATTTGGAATTTGGGTCAGGCGGATCCAATTGACTCGTAGTATTAAGTGGTGAACTAGCCGCACTCTCGAAGTCGAAGAATTCCGTCATCGTCTTGCCAAACTGCTGACCCCCTTCCCCAAATCCTTGGGTCGCCATTTCGTCCGAAAATCCCACAAAATCCATTCCCGGTTCATCCTTAGTATTAGAAACAGCATCCAATTCAAGGTCCATCATTTTGACATCCCCTTCGGGAAAAATAGCTTTGGGGGTTGGTATGCTGGATCCCGGTGATGGACCGTCAGAGTCCTGACTCCCTCCTGAAAGGTCGGAAGGAGACTTGTGTAGTGTGGGCGAGGGTTCAGCCCTTGGGGGTGTAGGAGGTTGTCGGATGCCCGGAGTCTCGAAAGGATGGGTGGAATTCGATTCCAGCTGTCCAGCCGAATATATAGAACTCTGGTAATCCAGGTACAACTCGCCGGGGTCTAAGGACTCTGGAGGCGGTGTTAAACCGTGTGGGAAATCGTTGGCCCAGAGCGGCTCCAACGGCACTAGTGAGTGCTTGAAAGTAGGGGAGGCAGGTTGTTCAGACGAAGGCGAGTCACAATGAGGGTATGCGAGAGAAGCGGTTGATTCGGTGTCGTCCCTCATCACCGACAACAGCCTAGGGAAAAGGGCAGATTTATTGATCGGGGGTTAATTCCTTCGTTTACCAGGGGTAAATGAATGGGGAGTGAAGGCTTGGAAGGAACCCTCCCCGAAAGCTAGCTACAAGCACAATCAGATATTTACCTGTTAGCAACCAATGTGACCGCGTGATTTCAACAACACCAGAGGACTATCTCGCCCCTGTAGCATGCAGTGAGCCAGACCAAGTTCCTCGCCTAGAGGGAGACAAGATCTAGCCTCGCCCCGTTGCCCTCTGTCGTTCGGAAAGCAAGGGACAGCTGAGATCAACCCGTAGTTATTGCGTAAAAGATCAAGGCTATTGGCGAGAAGGGAGTAAAGCTATCGTATGAATTGTATTGAAGAGAGGTACAGTGGTGTCGGACGAAGATTTTTGGATGGAGAAGGGGCGAAGGAGTAGGAGCAGGGCACGTCACGGCAAAAAAAAAAAAAAGTTCCGCGAGTACTTCTTTCTCGTTGGAGGCAGCGGCTGTCAACGACCTGCACAGGAATCGGAAAGGCTGAGGAGAGATGCAAACAGTGAAATTCGCCGTGCACTTTTGATGGCTCAAGGGAGCTCAACCCTTACAAAGAATCGGCACGCTGGCTAATGTTTTTTTTTTTCGTCGCGGTGGAATGGGGTTTGAGGATGGTAGGTGGACGGGTTCCTCTACCACATCCTTTTTTTTTTTTCTGCCTGGGTTGACGGAAGGAGAACGGAGAACCAACGGCCTTTGGATCCTCAGGGCGAGATCTGATTTGGTGGGGTGGAATGGGAAGGAGGGAAATAAAAGATTGTATCATAGGAGGCTGCTGGCTTGGTACAGTACGGCTATAGCTTTCTGCAGAAGTTATCCCCTTACCCCTGCCCGGGTTGTGATGTAAAAGCGGAGGCTAGAGTATCATTAGAAGGCGAGTGGAGGGCTTGCCGTAGTGTCTGTCAATCGTCGCACCCGCTCTGTAGTGTACACCTTGCGGTATAGCGCTGGTACGAATACCAGTATCATACACCAATCCAAGCGCATCGACCACAACGAGAAGTGGCCCTCATGAATAGGGTAAGGTACATGCAGTATGGCAGTCGGTCAGCCATGCTGGTTCATGGGCCACGGTCGAGTAACGGGCGACAGAATACACCCTATACGCCCCCCCCCAATATCCTGTGCCCAAGAAGCACAACCTGCTTGCACAAAGGGCCGGTACCTTATGCCTTCTCAAATACGCATCCAAATACTGCAGAGTGCCCGACTGTCTCGGCTTGAACTTTCCTCTCCGGGACCAAATCGTGACAAAACCGGTAAATCACCATGTCCTGTGGTGGAAGTCCAAACCCCAATGCTAACTTACCATCACCCTAATGCTACCACAAGCAATCCCTTGACCTGTATTTTTCACTCTTTAGTTCCCTGAATGTTCCGAGATTAGGAATGGCTCAAGCGCAGCAATTGTGCAAATCTATCTCTACCAGTCACGTCACAGCAAGAGCTCCCCCGTCAATAGCTGCTCGTACAACTAACTACCTTTGGTGAGGATCCTGTGCTAGCCTAAGACCATTAACCGCACTAGAAAGCTGCGAAATCTGCAGAGAGATTAAGGGACAAGATGCCCCATCCGCGTAATTCTCAGTCCGGGAAAAAACAATGCACGTACCAGCGGCGTTTCCCGCTGTAGACGTAATCATGGAGAAGGAGGAGTTGCGGTGCACCACCACCACCTTCGCCAACCACACATACTCAAAAAAAATACCACTTTCAAGGGCCCGTCTGCCAGAACCTCTCGGCTAACGTAGTACGAATAATACTCGTAAGGAGCACCCACTCGCATGCATGCATGCATGCATCATCCAGGTGAGGCTAAAATCCCGAAGATACGTGCATACGATACTCGTACATGTACAGGTCAGACGCCCTTCTTGATAAGGCATGCCTTCATCCTCACCTTCCCTTCCTCCACCCAAGTTTACTCGAGGGCCGGTATTTGTACACAGATTTATGCGTTGCCGTACTCGAGTACCGGTATCCTACTGGTTACACATACCGGTAACTGTTTACTCGAGTACCTGAAAAAGAAAAAAAAAAGAGGAAAAAAGAAAAAAAAGCCGCCCAATCTGAACAGCGAGGGGCACCAAAAAAAAAAGGTCGCCGTGCTCGGATATACGCCCACATTGGCCAACCCGTTTTCTTGCTCGCTCGCTTCGTCGGGAATAAATGGGTGTGTGGAAATCATGGCAAAGGACGGTATGGCGAGGCATGTCTGCAGCCGGCGCCCTCTGCCAAGAAAACATTGCTCCGCTCGATCCCCAAAGGAATTTCGGCCACCGCTCTGATAAGAATTATGGCTCTACGGGCATTGTGTGATACTCGAGTAGAGGAGGGGGGGGCAAATCCTGTCCTAGTACACATCGATAGAAAGAAGATATCCCGAGTCTTCAGAAAGATATAAGGGGCTAAAGGTTGTTCGGATATGGTGCTTCCCAAGGTGTGTTAATCACTATTGGCCTCTTTGAATGATCAATTAATGGGCGCCTTCCAAGTGATTAACCTAGTGTTAATACCAAGATTGACTGGTCGAAATATCATTACTAAGCTGGATGAATATCCGCCTGTTCCTGATAGAGATCCCTCATCACGGTCCTCGGCTACAGTACCTCGAGTACAGTACGGTACTCGAGAGGAGAGAGCCTTTGAGCAAATAGCTCAAGTGGTGCCCTGCGAAGGGCACCAGCACCGGAATTGGCTTAATACTCAGGAATATGATAGATGATTGGAAAGGCTAGAACGCCACCCGACCCTCGGCCCAGCCCTTCGAAGCCCAATTACGCAAAAGGCTCTGACAAGTAACGAATGTGTGAGCCTTGGGGATCTTTGACAAAATAAAACTTTAATATAGAAATAAAAGGGAGAGAGCCCGAAATCCTCAAGGTGACTGCATATGAAGATCAAGCGGGTTCTTATCGCATCCATGACGCATAAATAAAACATCGGGTGCTACGGTATCACGCTTGGACTACGGCATCGATAAACTTTTGATAAAGAAGAGAGCATGTGTGTGTGTGTACCGTACCTCATGGATGCTACCCGTCCGTACCGCACTTGAGACGGACGTTAGGTTGAAACGCTTGTGGTTGATCGGTAGATCCCGCTGGCTTACTGGACCTTAAGTTAGTGGCGCCGACCAAGCCACTCTGGTCACGGTACGGGTACTTGTGCGAGTGAAGTAACGTACTGTACCGCCAAATATTACTTAGAGGTAATGATTGCTTGCACAGTTTTATGGTATGATCCTTAACTTACAGTATGTTCGGTCCATCAATCTTTTCCTTTTTTCTTTGAAAGCGGCGCAGCGGCAATGAAGTGCCCACGGTTCGTACAGTAACATCAGTATTGATAGGAAACCGGTAGGCTGACTTTTTTTTTTATTTTTTACCATCCTTCTACCCAGGCACATGTAGGCGAGATCATATTAATCTAACTCCTTTCTCAATAACAGCGGCGAAAAGGGTTGAAAGAGGAGACTATTTGAGACATTTAATCACCACATCCGGGATTATATGCCACAGTTCAACAGCTCTTGCGAGCTTACTGTGAGTTATCTACAGGTACAGGATTGTATTTCTCCTTCCTCCGTCCGTACTCGACACGGTACCTGTGATTTTCTGCGAGCTTCAAGATACACACATCGCACGTTACCGGGGTCAATTTTTAAAGTCGTCAGATTTCAAGAAAACCGGAGACACAGAGCATTTACCTTGGGCGTGGAGGCACTTCGTCGTCATCAGTGGTGTGGTGGACTAGGGGAGCTCGGATTATGATGCAGCAGGTACAGTACCATTGTGCTGAAGAGCAAAAGCAGGCAGTTGATCAACAAACAGGAGGCCATCGCAGCATGTGCGCTACCGATAAATTGAACGCCTAGGAATAAAATATGAGCTTTTCAACAATTCGAGAAAATGGTCTCCTAATAAGCAATGATCTAATGCTGTACCTCTCCAGATACAACCAATCTCCGCATCCGCCCACTACCCCGTATTCCCGTATTCCCCACGAGAGCTGCATCAGCCGTAATAGACGGGGCAGTAAACTCCTATCGTCAGCGGGCGAATTACCGAGCGGCCAAAATTGTGGTGAACCCAGCGAACACAACCTATGCGTGGCCCATGGACGTCGGTTCTGCGGTGAAATGCTTGATAATATGGTGTATTCACTCATTGCTGGTGTCCCAATGGGTATAGACACTGGCTTGCAGAATAATACGATGGCGGGACAAATCCAACATATTGTCAGGATGTCAATTTCTATGCCAAACTTGCCGAGTGAGTAGGGTGTCTCTGCGTGCAACTTCCGGCTCCGAAGGAGCGAGATTAGGAAGGGTAGGCCATAGGAGGTGCTTGGGAAGCTGCCAGTGGTGGCCTCCCCCAGTGAATGAGTTACAGTCTGCCGTGCTACAACTGGTCAATGTTACTCTTTCGCAAAAGGTTATTATACCTGCAGAGTATATCAAACCTAATAAACAGCAAACCATGGTTGAAAGGAACAACCCCCACAATGGGAGGCCACACCTGGTCTCTGCTTTCGACTACCTGCCGTTAATGATTGTCAGGGGTTCTCGGAGTTTCTAACATTGGGGGGAGCGCGGGGTCCTCGGAACTTCCTCGAGGACCTTACAGTTTTGAACCGGGTATGGCACTATCTACGGGAATATCACATTCTCTATAGTAGGTCTTAAATTATGAAATAACTCCCGGGGATAGCTCTGGATTTCAAAGAGCTGCGCTCCAGATTAACACAGGACGTCATAGAGTTCGAGGTCAATATATCCATGTAACCACATTTTCCAAGGAAGTTCATGCTCAAAAAAAAAAAAAAAAAAAGAGCCCAAACCCTCCACTAGCACTTACGGTAATGGCACGGAGTCGTGCTCTAGTTTGCTGTCTACTTATAATACAGATTCGGATACTGGCTTCGCGTCCAGCAGAACAATCAATATTGTGTCCAAATAAGACCACACCTGTCATACCCGCCGCTGCGACTGGAAGTACTATAGCTCTGGGAACTTTACGCTGAGGCTGCTGGACCTCCTTACGGGTTGAGGGAACCATCCTGTACCCCGTAAGTGTATAGGCGGCCTGAAACAGCCCCACAAATAAGGCCCATCTATCAAGCCATCCACTAGGAGATGCGTCAAAGTGTGAAAAAGAACAAATCCTCCGCCCCCAATGGTATCCACTATCAAAAGCAGGTGGCGGGGATTATTACTGCACTTGCCGCAGCCCAGTAGATACTTATCTTATTGATGGGTCTAGGTGCTTTGCGCCTGATATATTGATAGGAGCACGTACCAACATTACGCCTATAAGGGGTTTTTAAGACGATATCCTAAAATGCACCGCTACCAGGATCAGGTTTGCACCAAAACATCGAGATAGTTTGCCATTCTTTAGGTGCCTAGTCATCCGCAATGTAATTGCGCTCAAAATCAACTGCACGCTGGAGAAATCTATTCTTGTTGGGACTTTTTAGTTTCCAATCTGCGTTAGCCAGCCGGTAATCCATGAAGCTGTTGGTGCATATTCCCTCAGTGGGGGCATAGTAGACCGGTAATAAACCCTACCAGCGGTGGGAAACGCAGATCATATCTCAGCGAGCGAAGAATCAATTCCAAGTGAGATCAGAGAAACCAACACCCATCCCCAAATAATGATCACCGTACAGATTGGCAATCTGTGAGGATATTGTACATTGTCGTACATGGTCCCCCAAAGTAATCGACATTGGTGGATCTGGTATGATTGCAGCTAGCATATACATACAAATAGAATAACTGCAAAATCCTCAAGATTCAAGATTAGTATGCAATTCTTCGCTTGAGCTATCGGCGATAAAAAAATTCATGACCGTGAAAGACCTATGGTGGAAGCTGTCAGCAAAATAGTTCCCTCAAGATCTCATCCGAATATCCGAATATTGGGTGTGTTAGATGTGGGATGTCCTTGGTGGCATACAGTCCGAGGATCGGTATCATGCTGAGATTCAGCTGTAGTTCTACCTTGTACCCCATCTTCGCCAGCGCATTGTCCGCTGAATTATCGACATTCTGGCTGGCGGCCATCCTGAACTGGTAGTTGGCGTTACGGCCCCGGCCTTGTCTAAACCTCAAAGTAAATTATAGCGGTTAATATGGAAGATTGTCTCTGGCTGAGTTGGGGAGACGCGATACAGGTACATAGTCGTGAGAGAGAAGCGAAGGAATGCTTCACCGAAAGGATTTTGGTGGAGGGGCTTGTGGACTATAACCAGTTATTATTTTGTGCTTCTACCATGGGGTTTGTCTTTACCTTGATGTATCGACACCCGTGTTTGCGTTCGTAGGGTTGGCATGCGATAGCTCGTTGTTTGGCCAGGGGTCAGCGGATACTGCGCCAATTCTGGAAGGCGCTAGGAATTGTGGTGAGCTGGAGAACGGAAAGTGGGGAAGCATTCTTATCCAAGCATGCACATACAAGTCTGCTGAATTCCACCAAACCTGAGCCAGATAGAGTATTAAGGGCTTGTCTAGTGCCCCCTCCCCCAAACATTGACTTTGGCCCCGATGATCGTAGAGGTTCGCAACAAGGCTCTATCTTCCGTCGGAGCGCCACATCCAGCCGACGCCAAAACGCAGTGTCCGGGCTACGGGGGTGGTGTGGAAAAGGGGGTTTCTGAAATATCATACTGGTGTTGATCTGACCAATATTTCCCCATCCTGCCACATGAAAGGCCCTGACCCGACTATCAGCTCTACGCAAATAGCAAGGTAGAAAGTAAGTCTTGACACAAACCCAGAAATAACCAAAACTCTCAATACCTCCCGCAGATCTATCAAGGAAGCTTCTCTCACCAACCCATTTTTGCCAGAGTAGACCAAGCCCCGCGCATCCCTCGAACTGCTATCACTCTCTTATTAGTATCAGGCGAACCATCCGATGAGGCTCCCGGCTGAGGAACCGGATATGGTACATCTCTGAGGGGCTATCAAGAAATTTCTTGAGTTACTAGTCTAGCATCATTGACCAATTGTGCCGGTATATTATTGCTCAGTTAATCCTAATGATATAGTAGGGTACACGATCAGGTAAGTGGGAAGGAAGAAGGTCGAAACGGTCCACGAAGATAATAATTGAGTCCAGTGCTGCGCCTAGACGAATTCCCCGCCAAAAATCCCGCTCAAGTACCCCCCATAACGGTAGTGACCAACTTTTGTTGAAGAATCGGAGGGTTGAGCTTATTGGTCTTAGGGTCTTCGGCTTAGTGGCCCTGCGGGTAGGCTGACGTCGAATATGGTATCATGTTGTATGCGTCCGTGGCGACACTTACGGTATCTCAAATCCCTAGGTTCCTGCTGTTGAAACTGTCCAACAATAAGCAAAGAGCACCATATCACACTCGCCTACCCTTCGCGGGTAAAATAAATAAATACCGGCTGTCCACCAGGTTAGTTACTGTCGAAGTGAATAATCAGGGTTGATATTGAGACCCAACTACCAGTGTGATGCTAGCCCCACTTGTATCTGTGCTGTTGGGACATTGCCAGAATCCGCATGTGAACTATTAGAACGACGTTGAACGTTCAAATAAGCAACCACGCCGCAATGTCTCGGATCACGTTACTTATAACCTCTAGCACTAGCTGTTTACTTATAGCTATCATCAGCGTAACCCTGAAGACTAACGATGACCCCCTGCTGCGAAAACCACACGGGGTACTCGTCAATTTATCAAGTAGAGTACCCGTACCTGGACATAAACACACAGAGCTGGTGCTTTACGCCCAGGTTCGGGGATCTTGGCATCTATTTCCAGATACCTTACGAATTAGCGAGTGCAAGCACTGCACGTTCGCATTGGAGCTTAGAATATCCCAACGCTTGTTGCTCACCAATCCCTTATCTTACAGTGCTCGAATGACAGCATGTTTCTGCCAGATCCCAGTCTGTGGCCAAGGTACTGCCAAGCGAGGAAGCTCCTAATTACTCAGAGGCCTTATGCAGGAATCCAAGGGGGCCAGAATCGGTTCTCGGCACCAGAGGTGCCCCTAAAGTTGACGTCAATCCCGAGCTGCACAGTACCAGTAGCGCACCCAACTCCCGGGGAGTACGGGAACTAGCATAACCCTAGGACATCAATGGAAAGAAGGATCTAGTTGCACGGGCCCTCATATCCAGTGCACCAGTGTTGGCATTAGGTAGGTACCCAGGATATATCCCCACAAAGCGTCCGGGGTGGTGTTCGTGTTCGTGCTCCAAGCACACCAAGTGGCGATTTATATCGTGTCTGTCGTTTGGTCGGGCGGTGTATAGTAGTGTCCTCGAGTACGCAATCAACCCTATCAGATTCATCACCTTCCCACACCCCTATCGATCATAGGGTGGTAAACAAATTGTCATTACACCTTCACAAGGACCAATAGCCGCTGCCAAGAGCACTAGGGCGTACTTGTACCGTATAGCAAGATCTACTCATTCAGGAAGTTTCGCGTGAATCCGCTTGAATGGAAATATTCACATCAAACCGCTCATGAGGAATCACTCGATATGAATGTCGCCCTCAGAGCTAATAAGGTGTTCAGGGCATTTATCTATATTGTGTGCCATGACACGACTCCTAGTTGCTGTGTTTACAAGAAATTAAGCCCACACATCGATATGCGGGTGCTTTCAATCTGGTATCCGGGCTTCGGAGGTGCGGGGGCAAGGGGCCACACGGCCGACGGCTCACCCAGGGGATAAGCTTTTGGAGGCAGCGTTTGCTAAATATGGAATCCGGGCACGGTCGATATCCACCTAGCAGTTAGCTTGTCAGAAGTGGCTTCGTTGCAAACCGTGCTACCTACCCGGGGCCCGCAGCTTGCTCAGCACTCACTAACCTGGACGGGAACAAACAGTAAAAAATAATTAACAGCCCATGAGTTCTAAATTTTCTGCTTCTCGGTCTGTAGCGCTTTGGGGATATCCCTTGTTGATTTCACTGCCATCGAAATGAATCATAGGTAGCATAGTAACGATACTGAGCATCTTCATTGGTAATCACTCGCTACCGGAACAGGGGGCAATGTTGCAGAAATCTGATTTGGAGGGGGTGGATGTGAAGATGTGAAGAGAATAAAGATTTAGAGTGGGTTGTCCGTACAAAAGGCAGGTGTTACTCTCTCAAGAATCCGTCGGCCTCTAGCACTTAAGACCATAGTACTTATACCCATGAGAGGTATCTATATACAAAAGCATGAGTCCCAAAATTTCATTTCTAACAGACTTCCGTCATATTGAAGCAATTATCCCAACAGGCAAACAAATGATGCAGATAATCTGGCATAATCTACCTCGCGGAGGACCCGGATTAGCTTTGCCTTATTTCGCGGGAAGTACCCACGGTGAACAGCTTGGGTAAGCGTGTGCGAGTTTCCTGATCCAAGCCTCCAGAGTGCCTGGATCTAGGTTAGGCCCCGTTTGACCGCTAGTTTTGGTAGGAATACCGGCACGGTGCAGCACCTCAGACAAGAATATTTGTGTCCAGCGTACTACTCCTTGTCGAATCTTTGGGCAGTGCTTTGTGAGGCCTGGCCTCTATGGGATAGGGACGTGGGAACCTTTCGAGCTGTTGTCCGAGAGAATGGGTCATTCCTGGGGAACATCAAAGGTTCGCGAACCGCGCTTCTCAGGTTGGTTGGCGATGTAGTGTCGCAAAAGGGTCTTGTGTGGAGCCCTTTGCCTTGGGGGCGATTGGCAGAGAAAAATAGGAGCTGTTTGTAAGAGACTATTGGGTCCAACGATCCACACAAAGGCTTATATGAGTAAATAAGAAACTAATGGAACTATTATATACAGGTGGCCCGCTTGGCTGAAAAACAGTATATCTAGAGTACCGGTAATTTATCCTATAGCCCGTTTTGTGTGGGTCCAAGGGATCTGGTTTTGAAAATTACGAGATCTGGAAAGCATCCTTCCTCAACCCAAAATAAATTACTGGGGCTTCAACTAGGACCGATTCCACCGGTCATTTGGATGTAGTGACGGACTGAGGGATGCTATGGCATCGTTTATTCCTTGAAGACTCGATAACCTCTCCAGGGTTTCCAGTAGTGTTCCGGGTTGCGTGATAGGCGAGCGAGTTCCCATAGCATTCCACGCCCCGAAGACAAACTGGGTCGGCACAGGAGAGCCTACGGAACCCGGGCTTTTTTGGGGTGGGGGAGAGTTTGCCGTGTAATCCACCCTGTTCCTGGCCCTGCCTTATGCTACTCGGCCCGGGTTACTCGAGTACCGGTATGCACCCTGTCCTTTCAACTGTTGATGGCTTAACCGTGAGAAATGAAATTTGAGAACAGCTATAAGTGGGCGCCCCGATCCCGATACTTGATTTCTGAGCAGCATGCACCCGTGAGAAGCAAACAAGTGCAATAGGTATTACGAGTCGATGTGCGCATAGGGGCCACCCCCACGCTCCCACAAAAGCAAACACGGGCTCCCTTAATCTGGGAAACTGTTCGAGCATAATCACAAAACACCGAGAGTCGGGTATCTGGCCCGTAGAACGAGAACATCACGATTACTCGAGTGGTGCGGCGTGTGGGGTAACCCCATACGGTAGTGCAACTTTTGAAAGCTGGAGAGGGTTCCGGTCTCACGCTCTTCCCCTTCCCCTCCAGTTCCTCGGATTGGAGGTCACAGCACAGCACAAGCCAGGGTGGAACACCACACCGCGATAAGCGGTAATCCTTTCGATCGTCAAAGGGTGCGGGGAAGGAAACTTTTGCTCCCGAAAGGGGTCCATTTCTTTCCTCACTACTAGCACGTTTGACAACTACTCGAGTACCGTAGCCTACCGGCACCGGTATTTCATGCATGATAGCGTCTGAGCGGATGGCACGTGCGGAGGACCGGTGCGGCTCTGCTGCTGCTGCACAAACACATTGTCCCGGATTGACGGGGAGGGGGGAGGATCCTCTGCGCGCACGCCATCCCATGCCCCGTCTTGTCTCGATGCGTTAGGTCCATGCTGAGGGCTGGGTAATATGGTAGTGAGGATACGGCTGGTACGGGGACGGTTATGTGCGTGCGTTTGCCCTCACGGTATTTGGGTTAATCCACCGGTATCACAACCGATAGCGGCAGAGGTCACCAGCAACGGAACAGCGCGGCAAGATAGAGTTCATCCGATATATCCATCCGTCATTGGTATTGGCATTGTTCGTACAGGATCTTGCTTTGTCTTACCCTTTGTATTGTGGGGGAGAAACATCTCGTGAGGGTTGATGCTGGCGTGGACGGATACCGCACCGGTTGTTGTCGGCGTGGCTCAGAAAGTGGGGGATGCCTGGTCGGGATGAGGGAAGGTGAAGGTTCGGCAAAAAGGTTCCTGGATGCCTGTTACAGGGGCATCACAGAGAGCGTGACATGGTCATTACTGCTTTCAGAATTCCGGGACCCATCAAGAGGTGGATTCGCCCGGTCCAGAGTCTTTCCAGTACCGGTATTTCCCTGAGCATTTGCTGCGGAAGGGGCCATTTTCCCGGTGGCTCCATGGTGGAGCGCTTGGGGGGGGGGAGGAGGGGGTTTTACTGCACCCCTACGGTATTGGGGGTATTGGGAATTGCACACGGCGGGAGGGTACAAGTGCTTATGATACGCTATGATATCTATCCGCTATCACCCCGAAACCCCCGCCTCCACCTCTTTTCCATATTCCCGCACATCCGCCCTGAGTTGCCATGTAGCTTGTCCTGCAGTACCTTGCTTGGGTCGAGAGAACTTTGCTCTACAGCTGCTCTTGCGTGGACTATGTGCTGTACGGGCGATCCGAGTTACGTACGGTTCAGTACGCCCGACCTGAACAAGAGTTATGTAATGTCCAAGTCCGCTTGGAAGACTGGCCTGGGTAAATAGCGGACGGACCGATTGCCCTGAACAGCGCATACCTACCATAATACTCTCCGCTCCTTTCCTTGCCCTGTATTCTCTCTCTCCCCTCGGGAGGGTCCTTTCTTCGCCCACGAGAAATACAGCTTATCGCCTCACCATCCGATCCATTTGTATCGGTGGCGCACGGAGTGAGTGCTTGTGCTGTGCTGTGCACTTCGATATCATAACACCCTCGTACACCCCTCGTACACACCTCCAGGCATTTCGTATCTTGTCCCTCTTGTCTGCGGCAACCGTGAGCTCACGGTAATCTCTCGGGGCGGTAAAGGTTCCATCTGCGGACATCGACAACTTTGCATCGTGATTTGTTGCGAGACCTTGACGGTTTACCTGTAAAGCTCGTTGGAGGGAGAAAGTTACATTGCGCGGGAAGGGGCATTTAGAAGCCCGTTACAGGCTTGCTGAGATACCGGTACGCCAGTCGAGTCGTGGGAGCAGGATCAAGCGAACAGAAGGTTACGGAACGAGGGTACCACCGGAGCAAACCAACTGGTGGACGAACCAACAACGGCATCCTCCCAGTTTCGTTCCCATCCGCAACCCTCGTTTCTTTCATTTCTTTTATTTCTATTCCCCTGTCCCTATACGTTTGAGGGGCCCTTTTTTTTTGTTTTTCTATCATAGATTCACCTTACGCTGTTCGGCCTTGTCCTGCCTTTTTCTGGGGCCGACAGGAATCCAGGAGTAAGTCAGGAGAAGCAGCCAGGAGTGCGCTACCTACCGTACTTTTCTGTTCAGTGCCAGCAGCGAGAGAAGAAACTCCTCGATAGAGCCTTTTCTATTCGATCGCTTGTGCGATAGATTGGTGGGACACAGGAATCTCGTGTTTTTTTTTCCAGCAGGTGTGTAAAAACTACGTGCGTGGTCTTTATCAACGCATCAACCCCGGGGGGCTGGCGACCGCTTATTTTACTCTCCCTCTCTCTCTCTCTGATCTTAGAGATCGGTGGGATGTATTGGGTCGTGGACTTTTTTTACTCCAAAGTTTCATCTGCCCTGCTTTTTTCTTCCTCCCCATTCTGCGCGCTTCTCCGGGTCGATTTTCAATCCTCACCGACCCTTCCCCCCAATCCATTATTCATCACCATCATGTCTCCGCGAGCTGCGCTGACCTAGTTTTTCCTCTTCACAACCAGCTTGATTATTGCCGGGAAAGAAAAAAGGAAGCCCCTCGACCTTTGGACATGAAGCCCTCCTCATCAACCTCTTCGTCAAAATACCGCGTCCATTCTCCATCGGATACAGTGCCCCGCTCTCATTCGGCGCGGAGCGGGGGATCGGGCTCAAGGAATATAGGGGTATGCTTGCTTATCTCTCTCCTTTTCATCCTATTCCCTTGATATGTGCTTTTTGTTCTACCATGTACCCTCTGCCCTGTCACTTGAACCTCAACTGCAACGATGGGAGCGGCAAGATCCCTCCCGCCGCTGCGCAGGAGCTGTTCGAGTGAATCAGGCCGGATGTGAGATAGCGGAGTTCTAAAAGGGGGTTTCCGGTTTATTCTAGGACCCACGAGACCAGCAGGTAGCTGCTTACTCGCCTTCGAGCACTCCCGCATCGGATTATAACTTATACGACGCTCGGGGATATCCCGTTCAGCCTTATTTGGAGCACCACCCTTCTTACCCGAGCCATCACTCTTACCCGCCTCCACCCCCGCATAGCCATGGGGCTCCCCCTCCTCGCCAACACCCTTCATACCCAAGCTCTCATCCTGTGCATCCTCAGGCCTATCACCCCACGTATCCGAACTATGAACCACAAGTGCCTCCTGCCCACCTACAGCAGCACCCCTCGTACCCCAGTTCTCAATCCCTAACCCCATACTCTAGTGGCAATTCGCATGCCGCCCAGTCTTCCCACTCCCACCACCCTTCGCATGATAGCGACTTGTCTCAGTACTCGCTTTCGGGGTACAAGACTAGATACCGGATCGAGCAGGAGGGCCGAAACCTCGTGGTTTTGCCATCGGAGAATGATCACCCTTCCACTTCATCCTCATTGCGGTCCTCTCTTCCCATATCTGTCTCCCCATCGCCCTCACCCCCACCACAACTTTGTCTTCCGGCTGCCGCTGTTCCTCAACATAATGTTCGGGCAATTAGGGCTCCTCCCCGCGAATGGCCGCCCGTTCGTTACCAGACGGAACTTTCCACGACAGAAGCTAAGCAATTTATCGGTGACGGCGCTCCCAAGTTTCTTGGGGAATTGCGAGAGGTTTCAAACGGCCCAAGGGGCTATTACCACCTCTTCGCATTTGCCGGGGATGAGTGGGATGAGGAGTCGGACACTGCTCCTTTTCAGAGTGATTCGTTTTACGATATGAGCTCTAGCCCAGAAGGCAGGCAAACCGATGCCCTGGAACGGCCGGCTATGGCGCACGCATTTGGGACATATCCGGGAACTCTAACGCTGTCTTACTATGTTGCCAGTTTCGGCAGCACCCTGCAAGGGCACGAAGTGGCTGCACATGGGAAAGTTCGGAAGCTAACAATGTTATACGTTCTTGACCGGTTACGGATTTTACAGGTGAAGGGGATCGAGGAGGACCTTAGGCAGCTTCACGTGCACCTTTACGACTACTTGCTCCACGATACTCATAGATATGATTCAAAAAGCCATGTATCTCTCGATAATCAGATTTCAGACCTCGTTGCAGCTCTGTGTCGGCCCAGCTGGGTGAATTTCTCGAACCCCGAAAACCAGACTATCCCGCGATTTTTATCAGATCCTAACCCGGGCGTCGCCAATGGCTTCTTCCACCAGCTACTGCTTTCCATAGAATTGTACCTAAGAATCAATGCTAGGCATGAAACTAATTTGGCTGCGAAGCCACTGCCGGATATGCCAGAAAAGATTAGATGGGATTTAATGCTTGCCCAACGATGGCTCGAAAATGTGGAGGTAGAGGCACCAAGAAAGGTCAAGGACAGTAAAGGGAAGCGAGAACAGAAATCTAGCGTTGGATTTAGATTTCCACACAAGAAGACCCAGGTTGGGGCCTTGCGGAACTTTGCGTGGACTTTGAAGTGAGTCTCAGAATGCTTTCTTGATAGAACTGCCCACCATCTGCGCCTCGTTGGCCGTTTGGGCCATTGGGGCCCTTCCCTCATTCAAAGCCCGCTGGTCTTCTTTCCTGGTTCTGGCCAAGCTATTTATTCTGTTCCCCGATTTTACAACTTTTCTGTTTTAGCACTGGAGCTGGTAGTCATGCTAATAATGTAGGTGGCCGAACATGCATGAAGTGGAATATACACTTTCAGAGGATGAGGATCCCAACGAGGTTCTTGAAGATAGGAGCATCAACTGTATGTCCTGGTTCACTGGGTTGCTTCTCCCAGGCAAATCCATGCCATGGATTTTGATGAATGCTCTCACGGATTGCGATCCAGACGTGCCAAAAACGTTCCATAATCTTTCGCAGACGACACCAAATGTCGGATTTCAGTATAGAGGCCACACTTATTGGTCGTGGGAGTGCATAGTCGGCAAGGTTTTGGGGGCGGCCGCAGGTGTGGCACAAATCGCCGGTTGGATTGGCCCATGTTCCGCATCGGCTGATCTTAGTCGTTCGGAAATGGCTATCATCAATCAGATGCCTCCACGAGGGAATAGAATCACGCCAAGCAATGTTCGAAGTATGGCCCAAAATAGCGATCCTTTAGGCGCATATCAGACAACGTATCCTGTCAACGACTATGTACTCCTCACCCCAAACACCGATGATCCCGTGGAAGACATCAGGATCGAGCGTCTGAATTTCTCACCGGCAGCAAGTGCCCCGAAAGCAGTGCACCGCATCACAGAGAATGGCCACCAAGCTGCAGAGGAGAGCCCCGTCTTGGTATATGACGCGTCGATCACCTTTGCTATTACTGTCGAACATCGAACGAGATCGTGGAAGGTATCTTTACGACATGACACTCCGTTCATCGCGGCCTATCCGTGCCAAAACGGGCCACACGTCCTGTTCTGCGAGTACCAGTATCGGGTTATATATGCCGATAGATTGGTGGAAATCCAAAACTGGGGACCTTCGGGCGGCGTGCAGGATTCGGAGCCCGAAGACGAGGGCGGACAGCCTGAGAACACTGCTACTGTGGTAGAGGAGGTGCTGGTTGTCGAGGCCTTCGGAGTGCCCGACAACGAAGTCTTCGCCAGGGCTTGGTGTTCATTCTGGGGATTACCCGCAATTACTGCCGATGTTAACAGGACGTGCATCGCTTGCGCGATACGGGAAGCCTACGCAGCGCTCGTAAGTGTCGTAATACTCACCAATAGATCGAGTATCGCTGTGGAGGTAGAAGAGGTGGATAGGTTGATGGAAAACCTCTAAGTCCGAGCCATAAATATATTTTTCCAAAATCTACGGTTTCTTCGTGCCCTTCTCACTCATCTATTCCTTTTATCTTTCCATTTTTTATATCTCTCTGTTTATTTAGTTGATTTATTGTTGCCTATGTAGGTACGGCGGATTCTAGCATTGCTGGGCGTGGGTGATTACGATGAAAGAACACATGCATGGAGAATTGTATGCCTAGTGTGTTTATTTGTGGCGATGATGTTTATGCATTTGTTTCTCTTTAATGGCATGAGAAGGGTCCTTTCTCCCAAGCTCTGGGAGCACAAGGCTGTGAAAAAAAGAAATCGTAAAAGTGAGGTTGCGATACCGTAAAAGCTCGTGAAACCCACTGTGAGTACAAGTACTCGTATCTCTATCAGCCCTCTAATCTCCGAATTCTGAGTCAAAAGCTCCAGAGAAGGATTAGCATTTTCCTCGCATAGCATAAGATCAGCCCTCAACAGGAGTTGGGTCTCGTTAGGTGATATTCCCGGAGATAGTGTATTTCACGAGTTTTTACGGTAATGTGGGATAAGCCCTGGCAGTTACCAGCGGCCTGCTTTCAGAACTGGCGCTGGAATTTGTGCAATTCTTGCTAGAACTACCGGAAAGTGTGAAGAGCCCTGTGCTTTTTGAAAAACAGGAAAATCACTAGTTGGGCTTTTACAAGTGCCGGCATCACGAATCACGGGATACCAATCGCATACCGGTAAATTGCTAGGCGGGCGATCTTTTGTTGTACCGGTTTAGGTAGCATCAGATCGGGCTTCATGCATTGTTCAGGTAGCCCACTATTACAGTAACTTGTTGAGTTTCTCTCCTCCCCCCCCTCTCTCTCCGGGGGATTCTTAAATCAGCTCCATTGAAATCTGTGAAACTGTGAAAAGCAACAAGGTTTGTTATTATGCTGCTTACTTTTCTGGTTACCTGGGTGTGGCTGGTGTTCCGCTGTAAGGTATCCGGAAGGCCGCGATATCTGGCGATGCGATACTACTCGAGCATACTCGAGTAATGCGGTGCGTTGTTGAGCCTAGCTGAGAAATTGGCCTCCCCGCTTTTCCACGAACTTGAGTTGGATGCTGTTTCGGAGTGTGCGGATTGCTGTGCTCCTATGGGGTCATCGAGTATCATCCTGTATTTTGTAAATTTTTGATTCGGATGGTGGCTGCTACTGTACGGCAGACGGGATTCTTAAATCATGGGTTGTAGTGCCGGTGATTTATACAGTAAGTTAAGCATCGTATTGTGGGACGTGTGGATGGCCTGCGGGTGCACTAAGACTGATTAATTTCGAAGGGACCTCCAGCAATACCGTGCTTATGATATGTGGGGAGGGTTGTTACTGTAGTATCATGGGGTTAATATCAACCAACCTGTACGAGTGCGATACCAAATCCTACCGGCACATGATCCAATATGGAAGTCCACCGTGCAGATCTAGCCAAGGACGTTGTATACTGTCAGCCCTAGAAAGGGGAGGAATTAGTCCTCTATGGCAGCTGGTCTCGGCCACTTCCCTTCCCCCCCTCGCCTACCCACATACCCACCTACCTACCTCCTCCTACTAACGAATAGCAAAATCCCAAAGAGCCTAGACCCTCCGGAGCACGGCTCAGACAGCTCCCCTGGGAATAAATTCGTTGAAGTGAACCATTACCAAAAGCCCGCTTCTCTCCTATCGAGGCCCTCCCTCTACGACTTAGCCTTCGTCCGCGAGTTCCTTGGGGGATCCTTCCAAACACCGGCACCACTTCGCTTCTTCCAGAATTGCACTGGACTTTCCACGGGCACTCTCAGCTCTTGCCGGAGACTGACGTAGAAGGGTTGGAGAAGAAGGAGTTTTTTTTTTTTTGGAAATGTTGAAGGGGAGGGGGGGGTTGGCGGATGTTGATTTTGGGCGAGCTTTAGGCACAGTTTGGTATTCCGGGGGGCAACGGGCGAGAGAGAGAGCTAATGAAGAAGTTGCGTAAGAAGTAGTAGGTTACTCCCGCTATATTGTAGTTTTTCAAAGTTATAAGATATCCGGAGTCTGACCGAGTTTCCGGCTGCCGGGAGGGTTCAGTGATGGTTCTTGCTGTTCTGGTATTCGTCTCGGTTCCCGTTGCCAAGGGTGGCATCATACCGTACTGCGCTGGTAAAGGATGGTTGCGCTAAATGTGAGGGTCAATGCGGATGACACTGCGGAGAGCTAGGCCGCGAAAAAGCTATTTGTGCAGAAAGGGCAATCCTTAGGGGCCCTTGAGATTATATACTCACCGATCAAGAGCCATATGGCGCCTCAAGTGACCGGTGAAATTGAACAGGCAGTTGTGGGTGACCGGGGGGGGGGGGGGTTACGGGGATTGGATGAAAGATTCAAAGTGCAGTTTCCCTTTTTTTTTCAGCTTGAAATACCGGTACAGTGCTAGTACTACACTCCCACCACAATGGAACTCGAGCAGCACTGGTTGTTGCTAGTAGGCCCACGGGAAGGGATCAAATCCCTGGAAGGCTGAACTCGCCATCGTAAAAAAAGAGAAAACACATTATGATACCCTACCGCACTTGTATGTTACCATAGATGTTATTACCAGCATAAAATATCACTCGGTAATCTAAATCTTGGCGCATACAAGTATTATTGTACCACTAAACCCCCAACCCCAGGGCAAAGGGATCTCGGTGGTTGAATACCCGAAGGTATCGTGCATATGATAATAGTTCTCTATTAATCCCGTTTGCGCCCGTGACGGCACTGAATTTCGAACCGAGACAATGGCAAATGGCCTAGCCTAAAACATCGACAAAACCTTAAAGGGAGACAAAGGAGGCACTCAACACTCTGCTTGTAGAACCGAAGGAGGAACAAAGGAGTGATGCACAGGATATATCCCACTGCCACTACCACTACCGCTGTATATTGTATTTCTTTCCCCTCAAAAGAGCTGCTATCTATCTAATGACAGAAGAAACTGAATCGGGCCCCGGTTTATTGTGAAGAGGTTTCCATCTTCGATACTGCCTCCCTGAGTTCTCATCAATCAATCGATTTTGTCAATCATAACCTGTATCAAGGCCATGTCAGAACCCCGTTACAACCTCCGTCGTACACCTGCTGCTACCCGTGGTGCGGGAGCATCAAGGCCTGTTAGCCATAAGAAAGCTCCAAAGACGGCACCAGCAAGAGGGGCCAAGAAGGTGGCTAAGGAGGCGGTGGCTCATAAGGAGTCTTCAAGACGCGGGACTAAAAAGAAGAAGGCTCGGGCAGTTAAGAGTGCCAAAGGTGAGCGGCCGAGGGGAGGTTCGGAGGTGCATAAAATCTCGGGGTTGAGGGAGGAATCAAGTTCTGAGGATTCCCCGGGTGAGTCTCTGGTTTCGGAACTCATTTCGGGGACTGATGACAAGGATGACAGCTCTAGCGAGGATGATACTGGGGGAGAGGAGGAGGAGGAAGGAGGGGAGGAGGAGGGGGGGAAAGGGGAAGAGGGAGGGGAAAGGGAAGAGGGAGGGAAGGAGGAAGGAGAAGGGGAAGAGGAAGAGGAAGAGGAATATGAACCTCTACTATCTGCGGCTAAGGATGCGATTATTAGTCTTACACCTACTATTATCAGAGGTGTTTTAGGGCTTTCTTCGTCAGCGAAGGATGCTATGCTTAGGCTTGGACGGGGGAAGCCGCTGTGGGGGGGAATGATTAGTGGGAATAGGAGGGCTAGGAAGAGTCCTGTTAAGGGACGGAACATCGACCATGTACTTGTTGATATCGACCTTAAGGGAAGTCCAATGCTTCGAGCAAGTTTGGATCAGGGTGGCGGTGTGGCTTTGAAGACCATTCAGGATAGGAGTGGGTATCGAGATGGATTTGGAGGGTGAATAATCATTGGCTTCTTGGCTTCTATTGTTCAAGTGACAAAGTGCTGACATGGACGCCAGAGCGCGCTGGGAGGAGGTCGAGTCAATCCGCCGGAACCTCTCCGAAGACCTCACAGCGGCGGGGACATCTCCAGGAACCCGGGAGAAGAGGAAGGCAAGGAACAGGGATAAGCTTACAGCGGAAGAAATTGCCACGATAAAGAGCAACTTCGCGCATGCCGCGGTGTTCTGGATTCTCTTCTACCTCGCCTACTCCAACAACCGAGTGCGCCACGGCGTCTACGGAACCTTTAACTCACTCACCACCCACCCGGTACTCCAAAACATCCTCGGAAGCGCTACGTCTGCCCTCCACACCGCTGTGGCACCGATAGCGGAAGCAGGTATCCAAATATTCACCCCGCAAAAAGCCCTGCTGGAGAGCCGTGTACGAACCTCTTCCGCGGCAGCCGCAGCCGCAAGCCTAGACCTCGAGCAGATCATCCTAGCATCGCAGGTGTTCGCCAACCTCACCCGCCCCGTAGTCATTGGGCTGATAGCCGGGGAGCTAGCGAGCGCCCACCCGCAGTGGGCGCTGGACGACATGTCCGCCAAGACCTATGACTTCTCTGCCTCGTTCGGGGCTGCGTATGAGGACTTCTACGTTCTGACAGAGGCATTCATGTCCACAATCCGCCGGGTGCATGAGAGATACACCCTCTTAGCGAACATGCTCGGGGACCAGGCATCCGCGGAAATGCTGCCCAGGCTGAGACCCGGCTGGCGCAATCAGGAGACGCTGAGGGTGAGGGGGGAGCGCAATAAATACTCGGGTTTCACCGTGCAATGGAAGTACAAGATTGCCAGGTCAGCCCTTCTTCGCGAGTTCAGCCGGTTGAGGACTCTGTCGCAGAAGGCGGCTAGGTCTGCCTCTGTGGCTGTGGAGAAGATGGTGGAGGCGCGGGGTCCTGAGGCGGTGGTTATTGAGAAAGTTGTTGAGATTGCGGAGCCTTTGGTCGCGGGGTTGGAAGCGCTGGATAAGGAGGTTTATAGTATTGTGGTGTTGTTTCTTCATCAGGATTTTGTAGTCGAGGACTATGTCCGCTGGGTTAATCTTGATGTCTTAAAGGGGAATTTAGAGGCCCTAGTTTCTACTTTGGGGAGGCTGGATGCGTTGGAGAGACTTAGGGATGCTTCTGAAGAGGGGTAATTGGCTTTTGCTAAGCTTTTCCTCTGCTAGTGTTCTGATCCTGTCGCTCTCATTGGTGTTTCGTCCCATGTGTGTAAGTTGGGCTTGGTAATTTGTATACTCGTACTGTACTATTATGAGTATTGTACCTATTTCGGGATCAAAGCTAAGAAATTGTGGATATCTACACTTCCTCCTGATCTGCCTCATTTTTTTGTATGTTGGACAATGCCACGCGTCATTGTGTGTCACTCGATGCAAAAAAAGTCTGTGCCTCACAAGTTAACTTGGGAGGGCGAATTTGGCGGACCCAACTCGCTAGAAATCTGGGCTTGGATTGCGCATGACCTAGCGATCCCCAGGCGTGGGGTATCCAAGGAGGGTGCAGCATTCTGAGTTTAAGACTGTCTCAGAACGCATAACATTGGCTTCGGTTTTTTCCGTTCATCGAATCCGGATTTTCCGGTCAGTTCGTGAACGGCAATGCACATGCCCCATTCTGCTTCCCTTTGGGAAGGTCCACTACCTGTATGGATGTTGGTTGATGGGTGGACAACACGGCCCGGGACCAATACCGCGGGCTGGACTATTAGGCAAACTTGGCGCAATTATGATAGATACTACTGTATATCATAGGGGGTACGGCACTGGCGAGCCGGCAAAGATCCAGGAGGGCGCCACAAACAGCGATGGCGCCTGTCGTGCATAAAATGCCCAACCTGGAGTCGCCGAACAGAATTTGACGCCATTTTCCCACAATAAAAGTAGCGTACCAGTACTCTAGTGCTCAAACCAGCAATAACGTGGTTTGGGTTGGAATAACGACGACGGAGAGCCTAACAAGGTTAGATTCATTTTCTTCTCCTAAAGTTATAAAACTGTCTCAAAGCTTGACCTCAACTATCATAACATTTTTACATCTACAGACGATGCCCAAAGGGAGATTCGCTTGGTTTCCTAAACCAATCACATCGGCCATCTGACCCCATGTCTGGAGTGTTTTGTCTGATCCTGAGGAGCAAGTGATTGGGGCCTGGCACTTCCCAGGTGGCGATAAGAGATGTTTCGCCGGCCCTCCTTCACGGCAGCACGACACGGTATGATTGGGGGTTGCACCTCTGCCGTCGACAAATGGTAGGGGGTCTCCGGAATGATAGGTGCTACAGGCGGTTGCCTTTGCACTATCATGGGGTAAACTAGGTGGATAACGATAATGTTGTGGAAGGCGCCCACACAAAAGCAAACTAACAAATATAGGCAAAGAGCTAGGCACTTCCTCGTCCGGGCACATTAAGAGGGTGAGAGGGGATAAAGAGGAAGGAAGAGATGCAATTTGGTCTTAGCCGGACCATGCCGTTCCAAGGCGCAACTTCATTAATGCGGAAAGCTATCGTAATACTGTATCTCAATGCGGCTGAAACATGTCATATTTCCATCGAGAAAGGTAGCGTGGCTGAGATGTGTTGTGTTCGATGGGGTGGGCTTAGATATGATATCCTAATTTTTTTAACTCTCCCACAGGCTCCATCCGGAATTTTGCAGGTTTTGATTCCCCTCTGTTCTAAAGAACTCATGCTCCGTGTTTGGTTGGGGCGGGTGGCCTCCCGGCGCTATTTTCCTTTATTCTTTATTCTGGGAGTCTTGGCTGATGGGGGGTGAGAGAAACAGTGCACGGTAACCGATTGCCACAAGTGGGACCTCAGCCCGGTTATCGAGATGGGACCGGCCGCTTACCCCCTCTTTTCCGTATCTGAAGACGGTACATGTGGTCCGGCTTACAGTATTTGAGAGCAACTTACTCCTTGTGGGGACTGAAGAAGGCTGAGAATTTGCTACGGAATGGCTTGTACAACCCACATATACTCGAGTAGATCCTTTGGGAACCCAAATTTGTCCTCCTCCTTCTCATCCGTGTGCAAGCTTTTTTCTTTTCGAAATACTTCAGAAGTCTGCGAGAGCCGCCAAACTAAAAACCTCCCCCGCCTTGGCTATATAAATATGAGCTAGATCACTGCTATCACTCGGATGGAAAGTGGTTTTGGTTTTGGCAGAGGACTATAACACGTATATAACCCTTCCTGCTAAGGATTAATTTCTATTTCTCCGCGACTTTATCTCGAACATTAATTCACGTAATTATTACAATATGGCAGACGTTACTCCCGATAACAAGATCACCGTTGAGAGTATAGGCGATATCACGCCTGGGACTATTTTTATCGGTTACTCAACACTTCCCTCCCACTCGCAACCAAAGCGCAGGCCTTTTTTGGCCCTCTGGAAGGTTGTGAACCAAGTGGTTTCATTGTGAGTGAGATTGTTTCCTGTTTAATTCGTTTAAATGGGGGAGTTTTCCCTGCCCAGGGTCTGCAACTGTTGGCTGACGAGAATAATTCCCACCGAATAGACCTTTGACCAGTTTACGAACCTGTGGTGGCAGCGTGCAGGCATCTGCAGAAAAATTCGGGCGCAGTACAGCCAGCTATTACCCCATTGCCCCAGAAAGCAATCCGCCGTATCTCCCGGTCGCTGCAACGGAAAACTTTGAAGGTTTCATAGATCTCCTAACACCAGTGACCCTCGGACAATCCTCCCTCGGGAGGAAGTCGAAAGGAATCAGAATCTCCGCGTCGGACTTGCGAAGAGTGATAATGGCGCACGTGGGCCTGGTCCAGTGCGGACGGGAGGCAGCCAATACTGGGCAAGGGGAGCAGGAATCGGAGATGCTCTTGATCGATCGGAGTACCCATGACAACATCCGCCAGATGGCTCTGGACATGCTCCAGCACAGCCAGGATGGCCTCCTACATGCTAGACGCACCCAGGAAGTTACCAAGAGTCTGGTTGAGGCATTCGATAGCCCCCCCGCCGCAAAATTAATACTACCACGTCTGCCGAATTCTACTTCCCTAGGTTCCACCTTCGTGGATCAACCGCCGCCGCCACCACCACCACCTCCTCCTCCTCCACGCCCACGGCCTCCGCAAACTGACACGCAGCATAGACATCCTACACAACAGAACTCAGACCAACAACAGCAGCAGCAGCCCCAACAACCTCTGAACAATCCACCTGGACCAGCGGGTTGGGGGTCCGGTGCCTCCACCGGAGGCCAGAGGAATCCCGATAATGGTGGTGGTGGTGGTGATGGATCTTTTGGAACCTACCGCTATGGGGATTCTTCTAATTTCTGCCCCCCATCAACCGTGATTGGACCAATTCAACAACATAATAGAGCCACAACCAGTGGATCTGGATCAAGGGGAGATCAAGGAGTACAGCATCAAAAGGAGCATCAGCAAGAAGAGCATCAGCAAGAGGGGCACCAGCAAGGGGGGCACCGGCGAGAGGAGTATCAGCAACATAACAAGGATAGCAACGGCGAAGAGGGCGAGATTGACGAATGGAGCAAAGGCGACTGGGCCTGGGTGGAAGGAATCATATCCGAGGGGAAGGAAAAGCGGCCCTGTAGAGACTCCGACTCTTTATCGGAATGGAGATTGGATGATTGGGACACGCTTGAGGACATGGTCCCCGATAACATCCCAACGCAAAGATACGGCCAACTTCATGCCACTGCGACCACCTCTCCTGGAGAAATATACCAAACTCCCGCCTGCCAATCCCCATACTCACTCTTGGAGTGCGATCAAAGCGATTGCAACAGTGAAGTACCACAAGGTAAAACCGTAACCCCCTATCCACTCCTCAGTCCTCCACTCCAAGAGGGCCAAGAAGAATCACCATCTAAGGACACGAGCGATGAGCATCTTAGAAGACCCAACAACTCAAGTCACGACCGACACCAACACCGGGGTAACTTCCTCCCCGCCTCATTTCCAACACAGTCGCAATGGGCCCAATCCCAGTTTACAACTTTTACCCACGCCTTACGAAGAATCGCAGCACGTGCCCAGCTTCAGCAAGAAGCCAGCCCCATCTCCGCAGAAGGTGACACCGGCGAAGGCGAAGGGAGCGAGGAAACACATTTTTCCGGGATTGACCTTCGGGGTGTTGCAACAACACTACCAACAACAAAAGCTGCACGGGCCGCTGCACCAGAACAAGCCTCAACAGAGGAAGCCAAAATTGTGGGATCAGAGACTGGCCCCATTCCAGCGGTTCCGTCGGAGGATGCGGGCGGGCGGCGGGACTCACTTTTAGAATCTCCCTGCTCCGCAGCCGCGGAGGAGGGGAGGGGGGGAGGGGAGGTGGAGGTGGAGGTGGACAGACAGAAGGCAGCGGAGGAGGAATGTAAGAAGGTGTACCAAGAACTGCAGAGGATACTATCGAACGTCTACGAATCCTTGCTCCGGCCGCCGGGCGTGTCTGAGGACTCGCTCAGGTCCCTCCAGCCCAAGGACGAGGTCTCCTTTGGGGAGCACAGGAGTTCCCTCAGCCCTCTAATATCGGAAGATTCAGCGCACGAGGATAATTCAGTCAGCCGGCTTTTGGCGGCGCTCGATAGGAGTCAGTCTTTGCAGGCGGAGATCTCAGCGGAGATGGCGGCAACCGGAGGGCTACTTAGTGGGGGACTATTGATGAAATATGTTGACGTTGCTCGCGAGATATGTCAGCCGCATGATGATAGTAGTAGGAAGATTGATGAGCTATGTGCTCGGGCGGAGATAGCTCTCAGGAGTGGTAGTTCTGCTACTGCTACCGCTATCGCTGAGTAGCAAATGATATTATTCACATCTTTTTCCCAGTTTTTCTTCTTTTCTTTATCCACGGCTTATGCTCCCAAATCCTTACCCATGACATAACGACCTCACGATGACTTATGATTCTGTTTTTTTATGCTCTCACTTGTCACGAACCTCCGCTATGTCACTGGGTTGACACACCATCTCACTATCGCCCACTTTTTGTTTCTTTCCTAAGTTATAGACAGGATCTAGGCTTGTACTCTTTATTCTTTGATCACTACTCCCTGGAAATGTGCGCTATAGATATCGTACAAGGATACACAAAAGTGGTTGTTAACCCCCCAAAAATACTTTCTATGCCCCTTGGATCGCACCCTACTATATCACCCCTGGTGAAACTATCGAGTGACCTTTCATGACTCAACCATCTCTTACACATCCCTCACACATCTAAGCAAGCGGTTAAACCGAACTAAATTTGCTGATCTACTAGGCAACCCCATCCGCATCGCTTACCCTTGACTATTGCCGCATTTTGCCTTGCCCGGTGGACTTTTTTCCCAGCCCTAGTCACAATTTTACTCCTCACAAATCTCTCTCTCTCCCCTCCACACAAACTGTCTTTGGGCAGTGATTGGCTTGGCAGCTGGACATCACCTGGATACCGGAAATTGCGCAGGTTGTGTGTGGGTGGGAAAATGTGGTGCTCAAGCAGATTATTGAGGGTCCACGTGGTGTTGAACATTGCCTTACCCGGCAGCCGACTCTTCCTGTGGATCAGCAGGAGCGGTTTACCGATCTTCCCTGATCCACCCGAGCCTTTCTTGTAAGAGCACTTGTATGATAGCCTGCTACGGGCAAAAAAATCCAGAAATATGTCTGGATCAGATAGGGTCACTGGCCCATGCCCAGAAACCAACTTTGCTGCACGCTTGCTTTCTTTTGCGCCGGGAACTGACCCCAGCGCCTGCCAAAAGCACTGCAACCTTGGGGAGGCGGGCAAGCGGGAAGAAGAGGGGTTACGTTGAAGCAACCTGAACAAGGAAAATAACCTGGTAAGCGACCGCCTAGGGAAGCAGGCGGTCGAGGCCCCGAGTGGGACCTTGCCAGTTCCAGAGTACCGTTTGTATGATACCTGTGGTAAGGAAATAGATTGGCAGACTTGTGAGAGGATTAGGCGGGGAGTGCAGAGCAATGCTGTGGGGTCTTTGTGTAAGGAGGCCTAAGGAGGCTCTTGCAGTAACTCCCACGCCTTTTGTTTCGTTCACTTTTATTCCCCATGCCCACTGATTTCCTCCAATATCCAATTGTCTCTCAGGAAACCACCCACCCCCACCCACCCCCACCCCCTATCTAACATAATACTGTAGCCTGTTCCCCAACCCTTTGATTAGATTTTCCCCCTCTCGCCCCCCCCTTCCAAAAAAAATCCTTCAATACCGTAATCCCCCCAGATTTTCGGCCATCGCTTATCCTGACGCAATCCCTAGTGCTTCTTAGCAAGCAAATATGACCAGCACCCCCAGAAAAACATCAAAATCGCCGCCCGCATCATTATTGAGTAAAAATATGCTACACAGATTCAACACGGCACTAATTTTGTCTGCCCCCTCGCCCCTCTTATCCCTTTCTGTTCCGCAGGTCTTCCGCTCTCTCCGGAGTTCGCTGTATGTTGCCCGAAACGGGGGTGGGTGGAGGGTGATCTTTTTCTTCTTCCCCAGACTGGTGTTACCGAATGTATCTCATCTAGAAAACATGATTTAATGGAAGGCCGTTGAGAACGGTGAGAGGGGGGTGATCTCTGGGGCTTTCTGTTATATCATACTGATAACACCTGGTGTGTATTGATGAGAGAGGAAAGGAACTTGGTGTATTGACTAGCTACGGAGGCTGCTATCTAAAGGGAATACCTGACTGCTAACACTCACTCACACACAACTCTCCATGCCCTAGCACATGAGGATAACCCCGGTACTACACGCCAACACATACTCGAGTACTCGTGGGATTTATCCGCCTAGTCCCGAGCGATAGCTCTATGATAATATCTAGAGCACCACTCCCTCTATAGAGGAACTTCCCTACACTACCCCAGCACTATTGGCCTCCCCATTTTCGCATTCGAGGGAAGACGATAGCTATATAGGCCGTACTGGGAGGTGGCCAGAAAAGTACAACCATTTTCACCCAGCATTGGGGACATTGTTCTCAACGGGCCCTTAGTTCCCCAGTATTGGGTTCATACAGCGCTTGCTCCCATTAATTCACCTGGCCCATAATATTCTCCTCTGGGGGGGGGGGACAGAAGCACATGGAAATAAGAACTTAAGCCAGTTTACAAGCTGTACTACCGTATGACTTTCACAAGATCAAATATTAGTGATTCTCCACCCAGTAAGAGAGATCACACCATCACTAGGGAAAAAAAAAACCAAAAAACAGCACCTAGCAACAGGCAGCGACTTATGGCCCCATCCAGGCCCTGGGGGATGAGGCCTACTTTGGATCTTTTCAAATCATTCTCCTAGTGAGTGGTAGTATTAATACTTTCCCGGAGCCTCCGATTTTGTGATGGACGACATAAACTGCTAGCTGATCAACGTCAGAATTCACAAAGTGAGATAGACAATACGCGATACGCTCTCTACAAAGGGCACGTTCTTCTAGTTAAGCAAATCCCTTAATATAAGAGACGGAACGTACCGCGAATACCAGAATACTAGATCTGTGTGCTATGTAGTCGAGAATTCCCTACTTTGGGAAGTGGGAGAAAAGCAGGGCAAAAGAAAAAAGAGCTTACCAACGCCTGTGGGAGACATAGGAGGAAAAGGGAGGAGCAGACCCTACCAGGGGAGGGAGCTCTAGCGGCATAGCACTTGGTTCGATTACCCCAGATTTTATGGTATGTGGGGTAATACCGGTATGTAAGATATGAGTCCTCGAAGATCAAATTCCATGATGATTTTCCAGCACTGTCGCCGATATTCCCCAATAAGAGGCAGCCTAGCCCCTTGGGGGGCATCACGGCCTTGGTTATATTTAAAACCACCACATCTCGTTAGAAACCGGGAGCGGGTTTAGTGTCTGCCTGGCGGACTTGAGGAGTGCTGTCAATCAACTTATATGTGAAAATCACGAGAACCCGAGTTACAGCCGAGTGCCGACACGACCCAACGTCGGCGAAACCGTCCGTGATTCTATTCTAGCAAGTCACGGTACCGGTACTCAAGTAAGTGGGTCTGCTGCTAGTACGGTAGCCGCAACTTCGGAGATGATTAGTTTTCCCGATAACGGTTAGCAAAGTAAAGTAGATGCAGGTTCGATGAGGTGATTGTGTAATATAATATGTAATTACGGCGACAGGTAAAATTTTCTCGACCACTGATATTGCACAAGAACCCGCACACCATCCACCCCGCGCCACCGTAGCCCAGAAAACATATTGACATTACCTCAGTTTAATGCGATTATCATTACCTCTTCCCTGAAAATTTCCCGCAGGCAGTTACTGTGACGAAAGCAAAATACCGGTAGGCTGGGAGTATGGTACTCATGGTGCTCAAAACATCGCTAGCCTAAGCGCAGGAATTAGGTGGCGGGAAAGGCAGAAGATGGCTTTAAGGCCCGGACCGCAGTCAAGGTGGCAATAAAGGATGCCTATTTAGTTGAGCCTGGGACAAGTCAACTAAGGCCTAAATAGGCAAGTATATTAAACCTGAAAGTATGTGGACTATCAAAATTAATAATATTTACTTCTCGTTCAAAATTGAAAGAAAACATTAGGTTAGGTTTCCAGAAATTTCTTCAATTCACACCAGCACTAAATGTCTTGGCGATCGTGGCGGAAAATACTGGTCCGATCAGTATTGAGATTTCTGCGATCCTGGATGCATTTTATGACAATTGATTCCCACGACTAGCTACTAGCTAGGCATGGCCCGCTGAAACAGATTGGGGTTTTGGTCCCAGGTTGACAGGGTCCAGATGATTTCGAAGGTTCTGCATGGTAACCAGACTGAGCCTTGGTCTTCTGTGACTAAGTCATACCATCTGCTATATCCTCTCGAGCGATGTGGAATCCAAGGACGCACGACGAGCCTAGCGGTGAGTGTGAGGCGAAGATGCGGGTATTCCCCAAGGAACGCAATTATAGTGTCAGGTACTGTTCCTCAAACTGCAACATCCCGTGTGCTTCAGGGGGATGGTTACAACTGAGATACCGGTATCTACAATCAAAAAGCGTTACAAGGGGTGCGCGAGGAGGCACCCTGAAGGGCCATGTATCCAGATAGACAAGGAGAGATAGTCACATACCCACACACGAAGAATTGTACCCGAGTATATTGAACGTGTGCTGCAAGTGCCACAATGTTCGTGGCTAATTTTTATCGTAACCTCGTCAATGGAACTCTATCTGGCCTCCAAGTCAAGCATCGCGGGTTCGTAGCTCGCTGGCCTAAACAGATATGTGGTAACAGATAGCTGCGGATTTATCCATGGAGTGATATTTCATAACAGAGGTCCGAAAGTGGTGCCTTGGATGCCTTTTTCAGATCTTTTAGGATTCTTTTTTTTTATTCTCTTTAGCAAATAACCACCTTGTCCAGACTCTACAGCCACACCAGAACTAGTGCACAGCTGCTGTCTACTCGTGCGTCTCAGCCAAGATTTGCCTTCCCCATTTGTAGTAGTGTGCAGGGAGGTCGTTCTTTTCTACCAGTTCAACATCACCGAACTGAATTCTCCATGCCCCACGGAAAGAGCCTTTCTAAGTCAACTAAGGCTGCCATCGTTGTCCTTCATATATGTGCACAGATGACCTTTGAGCAGTTGTCAGCTTGCCTACAGGTTAAGAAAGAAACAGCAAGACAAATCTTCAAGAGGATTGAGGTCAGTATGGGTCTCGTATAAGGGTTTCAATATGTGATTAGAAAGTTAATAAAATCATTTAAAAATAGGAGCGTTCCCCACCTGATGATGATATTTAAGATATGTTAGCAACTGTTGAATTGGGTGACAAGATCCATGAA